TCTGAATGTTAGGCAAAGAGCCCTTATTAGATTGATTCGTTTGATTGAGTTTGTCCTATATCGTTTAATTAGGTAAATTATTTTATTGGGAACAAATAGATGTCCTTGTCACGTACATAGATCATGGTTGATTGTTTTTTCCACGATTCTCTAGATATATATTTGCAATAGTTTAATATGATAACAACTGGAATTATTTTGTCCAAATTATATGAAACCAATCATTGAGACTAATTAAGGGGCTCAAGCTGTTTTGCATTCTTTTTTGGGAAATAGTAGAAAATAGGCCAATATGAAAAGCTTAAGAAAGTATATAGACTAATTTTTAGTTATAGAAATTAATAGGCCATAACTTGTCAAGTTATGGTTCATAACCAGATAAGTTATGGACAAACTTGTCAAGTTATAGTTCATAGTCAGACAAGTTATGGACAATTATGGACAATAACTTGTCAAGTTATGGTTTATAACCAGACAAGTTATGGACGAAAACAATAATTTGACCTATTTATTAACTTATGTAAACTATTGGCCTATTAATTTTAATTCATCTCAAGTCTTGGCCTATTTCTCTCTTTCTCCCTTCTTTTTTCTTCTAAGGAAAAACCTCGGAGATGGAAAATGTTATTTTAAGTAAAGCCAGGGGCTTAGAGAACTCTCAATTTTTAAGAAATGCTTAATAAACTTTAAATGCAAGTGCATTAGCGACTTCTAATTATGCGAAGAAAAGATAGTGAGTTCATTAATAATGTTGACAAGATTATCTCAAATTTTCTTTGGCTATAAAAGAGAATTCCAATATTCTCTTTAAAAAAAAACAGAAAATTCAATCTATCATCTTATAAATTAATGTCAAAATCAAAATAGTACTCGTGATCCATTCTCTTATATATATTTTTGAAAAATTTCAACCAAACAAATCTTTCTAACTTTCTTTTTCATTTTATTCTGTTATCATATCATTAAGTGTTATCATTCCTATTATCATTATCATTTCAACATTGCAACTAAGCGCATAATTTTCATTCGTTTTTGGGGTATCATCACTAATTCCCATGATGATTTATTTCTCTTCCCAAAACTAATGCAATATATAGTTTGTGCAACACTTGTATGTGACATTATTATATATAAAAATAGACACTAATAAGACCTATCAGTTATATAGTGCACCCATATATTGAAAAGAATTTAATAATGAAAAAAGCTTGAACACATTCACTTGTGTTCAATAATATCGTTCTTTAATAATCATCGGCCCTCAAACTTGAATGGTTACAAGAAAAAGGAGATGAACAAAAAAAAAAAAAACAAAGGAGAAAGTAACATTGAGAATGATCTACGCACTTGATACCCCAATTTAATTATTAGTTTAGCCCCACTAAGTTTAAATGATGTGCACCGTAAAGCATCATTAGAAACTTCTTTCATCTCAAAGACTGCTGGATTTCGGTAACTTTTGCATTCTTAGTGGAAGAGCTGCAAAGACTTTTAACTGTTCATGACTAACCCACTAGGCCAAACAAGCAATCTTAAAAGTGAGGGAAAAAAAATCCAAACAAAAACCTCGACATGTCTTTTAAGGCCCAGTTGGAAGGTCTACTCAAACCCATAATTCTTGATTATGATATTTAAAATTCAAATTTTATGTTGAACTTTACACTATAGCAGAATTAATAATTTGAGCTTGAATATATGAAACAAACGACCCCTTAATACCCTGCAAAATAGTATAATGTCATCATCATGCCACGGAGCCCCTCTACCTCCTCCGTCCCAATCCCTTATCTTCTTCCCTCCTCTTTCTCTCTCGTCTCTTCCTCAAATAAATGGGAAGCTGAGCCGAAATAAGATCTCAAAGCCAAGAACATGAAAACCAGTTTGTCCTCTAGCACTAAATATTTAGGCCTCGTTCGTTTCGCTAGTTCTAATCACAATCTCAAGTTTTTGCTATAGTATTTTCTCTTATAAAAATTTAAAATTAGTGTTTCCAAGTGTAATCAAACACAACACGCCACACACACTCCATTAGCTATGTTATGTTTCTACTCAAGAATTTACTGTGTAAAAGATTTCACACATCATTTGATATCTAAAAGTTAGCAAACCATGATGTCAGTTAGATATTATAGCATTATTGAACAAAAGAAAGGCTAAATTAAAAGATCACAATCCTAATCAGGGCATGCCTAACATATTCTTTCCATCTTGCACCTTTATTTTTTGTATATGAGCAAGTGAGTTATGTATCTATTTTGATCAGTTATTAAGTTTATATTAAATTTACTTGCGTCAAAAGTTACTCTCTTGTAGTTGTAGTAGGTTGAAATTTTTAGAGATATTTTCAATTGAGCCTAATTTTTTAATCAAAATTGCGCCAAGTTGGAGCTAGAGAAAATTATTTGTGAAGATCATGTAAATCATGTGTTTGCTCTTAAAGTTGGAGAGAGTAAAAGAACTATATATTTCAAAATTACATATGAAATATTATATTCAAAATATTACGTATGAAAATATATATTTCAAGATCTAATTACTTTGCAACTATGCTACCTAATGGCTATTATGAGCATAATTTTGTGGGGCAAGCTAAATAATTAGCTAAAAATTTATATTATATTTATGAAACACAAAAGTAATCCAAAATGCAACAAAACTGAATTGAAATTGTCAAATCTGGGGTCGATATTTCCCTAGGGGATAAAAGAAAAAAAAAAAAGACAAACACACACATGCATGCGTATATGTATATGTCTATGGAGAGAGAGAGAGAGAGAGAGAGAGAGAGAGAGAGGAACTTATACTATGGTGCCTTTTGCTTGAAATATATATTCTAAAGGTCAACAAGGTTAAAGCAAAGTAGGCCTTATGTTTTTACGTATTTTGTTTTCTTTTTGGGCTGCATGCGATGTGGTTCTCTTTTTGTTTATTAAAAGGAAAAAACTTTTCGAAATGGGGAGAAGCAAAGAAGAGGGTGCTATATTCAAAAGGCCAATAATTGTTTAGCTTCACGTTATGTATTGTCGTTTTGCTTGATAATAGTCCAAGACCTTCTAAAATATCAAATGCCCACTATAAAAAAGCAAAAGAATAATTGAGATATACATATATATATGTGTGTACTTTATTTACATGCGTGTGCATGTATATATGAAAGACACTAAAAAATAAAATAAAATTATTTGAGATAAAGTGTTACGCAAAGTGGTGCATGATTTATTATTATTATTATTTATAAGTGAAAGGAGTACATAGATTTAGGTCACGGCGGAAAGATCAAAAGTTGAAGGTACACATGACACGTGCATGATAGAACCTAGATTGTATTGTATCTGTTATAACAAGTACAAGTTTTTTTTTTTTTTTTCCAATTTGTTAAAAATAAACAAGTACATCTCCGAAACTAACAAGTACAAGTTCCGTAAATAATAACATAAATGTTGTCAGTTGTCTAATCTTGTTGCTCAATTAAGCACCCTTTTTTTCCTCGCTGGATAATCTTGAGACATAGTACGTAGATTTTCTTCATATTTGGTTTTTATTTCTTGGCTACATGTGTGTCGTTTTGGGAGAAGTTAATCGTTTGGAGTAAAAACTGAAGAAAGAACGTGTCGTTTTGAGGAAAGCTAACCTCTCATTGTAGCATTTGTTAAAAAAGCATCAAATGTTCAGTCTGTAGTATTTAGATTGGCTGAAAATAAATGTGTTTTTAATATTCAATGCAAAGCTCAAAATACGAATGAGTAAATAGTCTTGTATATTCATACGAGCAAAATAAAAAAAAATAAAATAAAATCTTTTGTATTTTCATAGCGAAAAAATAAAATAGTAGTCTTGTATATGCTTATTTATTTGAACTACTAGACAAACAGACGAGCAAAAACCAAAACGGCTCACCAAAATAACCACTTCTATGGGTCAAAATCATGTTTATTGTTCAACATTGGCTACTATTTTTTTCCCCTAAAAGGAAGACTAGAGTCAAAAGATTCCACCACAAGCCACCCCAATAATTCAAATAATTATATGCAGAGAAGTTTGGTCATTTGGTAGCTGGACAACATCTAGCAGTATTATTGTTTTCTTAAGGCGCAAAGTTGCATATAGATTATATAGACAGTAACATGACATGTCTATTGTTCAACATTGGCTACTATTTTTTTCCCCTAAAAGGAAGACTAGAGACAAAAGATTCCACCACGAGCCACCCCAATAATTCAAATAATTATATGCAGAGAAGTTTGGTCATTTGGTAGCTGGACAACATCTAGCAGAATTATTGTTTTCTTAAGGCGCAAAGTTGCATATAGATTATATAGACAGTAACATGACATGTTGGCATAAGCATGATTGCAACAGATTCCAGTAATATATATATATATATATATATATATAGAGGTATATTAGCTTTCCTGTTGGACCGATTTTGCCTCGGCTCTTTGGAAACGAGCCAAAAACACAAGTCAATTTGATATCCATGTTTATTGGACAGGAATGTCATGTGGACTTAATAATAATAATAATAATAATAATAAACTCAAATATAAGTAACAATCCTTTAAGAATTTTCGTCCAATTTGATTTTGGTAAGTGTAAATTTGAAATTTATTTTCTTTTAATAATGATTTTCTCATTGTTAAACATTCAGAAAGGCATTTGGGATACCCTAAAAGTTCATGTAAATTAAGTAGTGTGCATCACTTTTGAAATTGAGCTAAAGTCTAATTATTCACCCGATATAAATTAAACTTAAATCTTTCTATTAAAGTTTGTATATTCAAATATCAACTTTCTACAAATGACATTCCTCTAATTCACAAGTTCCTGTTCCCCCTAATTCTTTTAGCAAGACCATCTAAAAAATTTTCGTACTTTATGAGTAGCTTGTAATTAGAGCCCAATTCTTGCGCTTGAGGAGGCAAAATGTCCCCCATACGCCTATTGTTCAAACTTCAATGGATGAAACGAGAATTGTTTAACACAATACTGATATTTGATGGTAACCGCCGATGTAAATATAATCATTAAAAACTCGTTTACATATATATTGATAAGGGCAAACTAAATACAACCGATGTCCCTAGAGGAAGCCCCAATGAATTCAATGGCACATAAAGACTAAAAAAAAAAAAACACTAATGCCATAAAGATTGCATTGGACGTGAAGAAGAAAAGGCGAGTGGAAAACAAAAATTAATACTTCATTTACATATAGAACTACATAGACATCTAGCAAAAGCCAGTATCAACCTTAACGTCTAAAACGAGATGTAACAGTATAATCAGTAGTGACAACCTTAACAAACAGGATGGCGAAGCAGTGAGCCGAATTGAGGCAGCGGATGGCTTGGATGGAGCTCTTCCGGCAACAGCAGGAGCAACTGCATGCTCGCCGTGGGTGCTCTGCTGTTCATTCGTCGGCAATGGATTTGATGGTGTCCCCTTTGTTGGTGGTGTCAAGTTCATATTCTTGGCATCTGTAAGATCTTGACCTGCAAGTGAAAATTGGGAGAGGAGACTGAGACCATCTTCAATACCAATACTATATTTGACCCCAAATAATGTGGAAATGGCATGTTTTATAAGCTACTTTATTTTGTACTTGGATACATAATATTACTTCATATGCTATATCTACTTTTTTGTCATACTTATTAAATTTTTGAACTTGTAAAAGTATACTTTTAATTTAAAATAATTTGAAAAAGACAATATTAAAATGATTAAATAGAAAAAAAAAATTAATACAATAATGAAATTATTAAATAAAATAAAAAAAAGAATACATCAACCAATTATAATCCCATGCTAGAATTCGTATATGCTTTACTTGATGTCAAATTTGGCACTAGGTAAAACATACATCAAATTTAGCACCAAAAATAACATCACATTGGAAAGTGGTTTTCCTACTCAAATGCCAAAATTTGTCATTAGCATACTAATTTAGCAATGCATTATCAATGCTCTAAGGGATGCATATTATTTGGATCGACTAAAGTGAAAACAAGACCAAATAGTTGCATTTTCTTGTGTTCCATGGAATCAAGACACGATGATTTGGCAGACCTTGTCACAAATTAACATTAAAGAGAATGCGAACAAGTGATCTGTGGCATATTAGTATTGGATATGATTCAACCGGACCAATCACAGGCATTCACAAGTGCGACCTTTCCTCAGCGTCACCATCTATTCATATAGATTGGAGAATGATGGGCCTGCCAAGCCTCCCCTGAGATTCACTTATGTGAGAAATAGGCACAAGAAGGTTGAGTTGGCAAGCAACGTGGCGGTGGGAATTTCTGATGTCAGCAAAGAGGGGAGTGCTGAGTTGGCTAAGTGAGCTGGTCCTAGAAGTTTGGAAAGGGAATCGAGTGAGGGAGTTTATTAGGCGGTTATGGCAGCTGAATGAACAAAGGGATGATAACGGAGAGAGTATCGATCAGCTTATTTCATTTTCTTCTTTCTGTTAGAGGAGTGCAGTGGTTCTCTAGTAAAACCACCTATCAGCGTATCTTCCCCTATTTCAGTAGTAAATTCAATATAAGTTCAACGATCATTTGTTCCCATTTCTTCTTGCTTAATTCCTAATTAGTGAAAACAGTGCTTGGTTCTAAGTTCTAACAGAGAATTGGTTTATAACATTGAAAGGCCAGACAACTCACAGTTGGACCTTGACCAGCCTAACTTCAAGGCCTCTCTATCAAATACCATTCGGTATCCTGTCATGAAGTTCTCTGCAGAAGGAAATTATCAAGTAAGATACATAACTAACACGAGAAAATAAAAGTAAGGAATTTGTTATTTTTCTTAAACACAGCAGGAGAGAGGAGAGGCGGGGGTCGAACAATAAGCTATGTTAAAACAATTCTTTGTTGCGTGCTTACGTCCAATTGTTCCAATCTCTTCATCCCCCGGTTGTATGGCTAAACAAAATCCAATGGCTCCCTGCAGCACAGAGATCATATATCTTTAACGTCTAAATTCCAGTTTTAAAAGTTCCAACTCAGATAATATGATCAATTCACTTATAATTCGCAAAGACAAGAAAAGGAAACCATGAAATTATAAAACTCTCCACTATGACAATCCAATCAGACACAACTGCAGACCCTTAAAGCAAAATTACCTACCTCTTCGCCATTTATAGGAAAAATGGGATAAGAGACCACAAAGCTGTTGTTTGCAGGAAACACAAGCACTACAGAAGGAATTTTGGGCAAGGCTTGTGAACTGCTCAATGATAAACAACTAGAATGTCAACGAAAGATAATAAAAACACAAGAGTGCAGAGAGTGAGAAGGCGCTTAAGCTTTTCGGTTTATACCTGGTCTTGTAGCAATACTTCCAAGGATATCCTTCATAGCTAGTTCTTGTAGCATTCACTCGCCTGTCAAACTGTCAGGAAGACAGTCATAGAACCGAAGTCAACGATAAAATGTTATATGAAATTTAAAGACTTTAGGAGCGGAAAAATAAATTTCAAAAGCAGAAAAGTACCTCCTTGGACACTTTTTCATACACTTCTTGTGGAACATACGTAAATGATGTCCCACTATCAACCAGAGCTTTGAATCCTGTCTGCTTCATACAAGAATTGCCAATACAAAATGCTTGCACCCCAACAATGTACGTGTCACTGGACAAAGACATTATACATTACAAGTGTTGTTCAGCATCCTCCGAAAAAATGCAGATGTATATATAGACTGGTAAGATAATTACGAAAACATAAATGCATAAATAGTACATACTAGTTCCCATTTGGGGTTGAAGGAAGGAATGATGTAGACTGTTGATTGACTGGTCCCTGGTCCCCAAAAAATATTCTGCCAGAATTATCCTCGTCAAAGCACAATGAGAACGAGTTACGCACAAATCCTGCTTTGGAAAGGAAACTAGGGACTGAAATCTCTCCTAGTCCTAAACCCATGAGACCATCAGGAGCAACCCCATCCAAATAACCACCACTTTGCTTCATGCCACAACTGTATTCAAGAAAGGTGATCTCATAAATAATATGTTATTATGCTTTTCATAAATTCCTAAACCATTATAGATAGATTGAGGAATTATTATTCTTATTTGTTTTACACATTGAGCTCCAAAGTATGAAACAAAGAACGACAAATATGCATACCCTATTATGACCGGAGCCTGAACAGAACTGTTTGACGTATCATTTCCCCATGCTGCAAGATGCAATATGTCCTCAACAAGCAAACCAGAAGTTGAAGTATTCTCGGTGTAGTAACTGACAACATAAGGGCATGGTTGCTTGGGACTTTTACAGCTTGGACCCAATTGACATAACTGATGACTACAAGATAAATGATTGCTGCTGCTTGAGCCAGATGGACTGTACTCATTTAGGTCTCTATCCTGCATAATAGATGCCCCAAATATAAGGGAGCACCTGCCAATCAATCACTGGAAATAAGTGCTAAACCTGTTATCAAGTCGTGGCACGGACTTTGATGAAACATACGCACTCAGAGTTTGTCAGTGGAGCATGAGATTTGACTTTGCCCTGCCCCCACAATAAACCCACATGTAATTGTAGATCTTAAGATGTTTCCACCTTCAGTGGCACGAAACTGCCTTAAGACTTATAAACTTTAGACAAGAGTAACCATAGCCCAAATAAGAATAATCTCCACACTACTGCAGAATCGATACACTAGACTATACTCTCTCAAACCTTTTTGCATATGATTCTTAAAAGAACGACCTCAAACCTCCTATCTCGTAGATAATAGGAACTAGAAACCTCAATCTCAAGCCTCTTCGTATAAGGTTTTTTTTTCTTTTTTTTTTTTTTTGGGTTAAAAGAACCACCTCAACCACCCAGTCTCTTGATATTTAGGAACCAGAAATCACAGGTGTTAATCCTGACGATGTAACAGTTTTTCCTCCCTCTTAATTTAAGATATATAGTACAAAGTGGGAAAAAGTATATAAACTTTTTCTTTAAAGATATTACTCATGCATCCAACATCCTATTTATCACATCAAAGACAGGAACACAACAGTATTATACAAGTGCAATTTGCATAACATTGTACAAGTGCAATTTGCATAATTCTTTATCTTCAACTCCAATGTAAATCATAAATATGACAGAATTTTACTCACCAGCTTAATTAATTGATTTCACTTGTCAAAGCAGAAGAGCACTAATTTATAGAATAAGTTAACTCAGATATAGCAACGTCGTTTGTATCTCCTACTTCTATTTCCAGTACATAGTATATACTATGATCAAGTCATTCAATTCTGCTTACAGGTCGCTCTACATCTTAAATATAAATCCCTTCATGCCCACTGCACATGAACGAGATTTCATTGCAAAGGACATCAATTTTGAATAAGTTAAACAACATATCCAAAATCATACAAGGAGTTTCCCTAGGGCGTAGCTATATATGGTTTTTGATTAAGTTACTGCCTTGAAGAACTATCTTACCATCTCCCACAAATAAAATAAACAAAATTCATAGCTTCTATCTAATTAGCCAATTGAAAAAATTGCAAAATATTTGGAAACAGAATGTGGGTTGTTCATTACCATAAGCATTAGCAGAATAAAATATTTCCAATTAGGGGAAAATATCCTACCAAACTACTATAGTAACTGGCTGACAATGGAGCACACTGAACGCAATCACAAGGAACCCAAAGCAGATCGCTTCCAACGTCCAATGCCACCAGAAAGGAGACATTAGGCGTTCCTATGTTAATCCATGTGTAATGTAACCTAGAAAAACATCAGAAATCAGAACACCCCACAATGAGAAAACCACAAATTTTTTTCAATAAACTAACAAATTTATCAATTCATAGAGTTGGGATTATGAAACCAAAATCAAGGTGCCACTAAATTCCCAAAAATAATAAAAATAAAAAATAAGCTTCTTATAGAAACATTCAAACCCAATTAGAAAACCACGGTCATAGTAAATTCCCAGAAAAAAAAAAAAAAAACAAAAAGTTAGCTTCTTATAGCAATCTTTCAAAGCCATTTCAGACAATCATGGTTTTAACTTCTAGGTTTGTTAAAAATGTCGACTTCTTTCCTTATAGACAAAAGAAAATGAAGATAAGCAAAATGTAGTTTAAAATTGAAATTTGTCGAGAAAAAGCGAAGACTGACCAGCCGAAATCGTTGCCAAACGAAATCGTTTGGCTACCCTCGGAGGGGAACAGAAACTGGAACTGAGAGCCGAGCTTCATCTTCTGCCTCTGAACATCGCTAGCGAAAAGCATCTGATAATACTCAACACTGCTTCTCCGAGGCCAAGAAGCCGAAGACGAAGAAGAAGAAGTAGAGGCATATAGCTCTCCGCCATTCCCGCTCCCATTCCTCGGAGCCCTAAGAAGCCTGGCCTCGTCGGAGAAGCGGTGAATGACCCTCGCAGACAGCGTAATCGCCGCCGCATTGTCAGCTCCGGCGAGCAGACAGAACACCGCCGCCATAAGCAGAAGCAGAGGACGAGATCGAGCCGCCATGGCGACTCTCAGAAGAAGATCAGAGGCCAAGATCTACTGATTTGATCAAAGATCAAGTGTAGTATCTGCTCTTCAAGAGAACAAAATAGCTGAGTTGATAACTTGATCTTTAGATAATTGAAAAGGTTGGTTGTGACTTTTTTTTCTTTTTTAATTTTATAATTTTGTGGTGGCGGTGGAGTTTAACGGTATTAAGGCTAAAAAGAGCCGGGGGGACACGTAGCGCAGGAGCGGAGGTGGGATTGTTTTGTTTTGTTTGTTGAACTTTCTGCAGGTTTTTTTTTTTTTTTTTTTTTTGCAGTGTGTGTGTGGGGGAAAGGTGATGAAGGAATGTGTTATTATTATTAAGTGTGAAGGAAAGAAGACGTGGAAGGGAGAGATGGAGGGGTGCGTAGTGCGCACTGTTTCTCTCTCCAAACAAATATTTGTTTGTTTTTGTCGCGAAGTGAGTGAGTGAGGGAACATTTAGAAAGAAAATTTATATGGTGATTTAAAATTAAAATTCGTAATTTATTATAATATTTTTTTATAAAAAATATACTAAAATAAAAATAATTATGAATTATAATTTTAAATTTATAAACTAAATCACTCTTTATAAGTGAGTGAGGAGCGTATGGGAATGCTAACCTAAGCGGGTAGTAACTTTTGTAGCCTTGTAGCTTTCCTCATTAGAGTCTAGATTTGTGGAGTTTTTTTGACGTGTCTTGTTGGATTTTTGTCGCTTTCTTTCCAAATTATAAAAAAAAAAAAAAAAACACTCTGAGCCGTTTGGATGGATCACCGGCTTTAAATAAATTTTTGAATTTGAGTTTATTTTAAATAAATTTTATGTGAAAATTTTTAACTATAATATAAAAATTAAATATGAATTTGTATAAGAGTTTTTAATAAGAGGGTTCAAGAAATTTGTCAATTTAATTGATTCGTGAAATTCAATCTAATCTGAAGTTTTAGATTGGATTAAAAAAAGTTTTACATTAGACACGGATTGAGATTTTCTCAATCTGAAAGTTTTGAATCGGATTATAAATTGAGCATTTTTTAATCTGTGAATCTTAATTTAATGCATATATATATAATATTTTTCAGTTTAGTTTTTTAATTTTTAAAAAATTAAAAAACTTAGATTTGGTTAATTAGTCATCGTTAATTGGGTTGTAACAAGATTTGGTTGAACAACTTAATATCATATTTATGTTATGTTTATTTGAGTATGGATGTTGTAAATTTTGAGTTGTGATAAATGATTAAGATTTCATGTTGTGTTTTATTTTATATGAATGTCTATTAATTTTATAATTTTAAAGGTCGTAATTTGTGAATCTAATCAGTAAAATCTATAAATTTGTGAATCCAATCTATAAAATTTGAAAATGTTTTGGATTGGATAGATTGAGATTTTCTCAATTCGTGAACACTTATTTTTAATTATAATAAAACTGAAATTAAAAATTTAAATAGATGAAATAAATAATATTATTTTTTTAATAGGATTTGGATATATGTTAATGTAGAAAATGAGTTGAACTACTTGAATTCGTGGGGTTAAATTCTCATATAAAATTACATATCAATTCAAATTAAAAATTTAAATTAGTGAATTACACCAACTCTTTGTTTCCTGCTTTACTCTATTTGTGTTCTAACTACTCAAGACCATTCTCACATTCCTCTTTTTTTTTTTTTTTTTTTTTGTTCTAAGTTGGATAATTGACAATTTTTTTCTTATTTTTTATTATTATTTTTTTCACGTGGGGCATGAAAGTGAATATACATTATTGAACACGAATACGTGGAAGGAAATGTCAAGAGTCAAGTGACTAGTGACTAGTGAGCGAGGATGTATTATTAGTATGCATTGGCAATGATTATGTTTTTTGTCCGCTGGCTGTAAATTGTAATAGAAGGCAGTTCGTTGGGTTACAGCGGATGTGTCAAATTGCAAGTTAGAGAATTGGCATTTAAGACTCTTTAAAATCAATGTTGACGCCAAATATATATAAGAAAAGTAGATAAATTCTTAGAGTTAATTTTATGTAAAATTATTTTATTATAGTAAAAAAATTAAACGTGATTATTTTTAAGAACATTTTATTATAATAAAATTTAAATTAGTAAAATAAATATGAACTTATAGAGTGTATAAATCTTAGATTTTTACCCTTTTTTCTTTATTGATATTCTTTAATTAAAAAAATATATTAGTCAAGATGATATTTATCAAGAGTAAATAATAAAAATTTAAATCAATACACTTTTAAGAGTAAGATCAATTATTTTCTCATTATTACTTATTTATTTATTATATATTTAGAACAAAAAAAAATGTGATATTAGGCCTCATTCTTTTCACGGATTTGAGTGCAAAATTTGAGTTGAAATTCAAATTTTTATGAGTGAAAATATTATAACAAAATTGTTAAATTGTGAAAAGATTGGAACCATGGTACATTTGACATTTTTGCTTCAATAAATAATGTTATTTCAAATGCTAAATCTATTTTTTTATCATAATAATTAAGTTTTGAAAGTTGTAAAATAAAATTTTAATTTTAAATAATTTAAACATGTAAATATTTCAATGATTAAATGAAAAAAATAAACATATCAACTAATAACAATTAAATATTAAATTTGTTATATGTTATACTTTGTGACAAATATGTCATATGGTAAATTTGGTATAACAAGTGACATCGCATTGGAGAGCTTTCTACACACAAATATCAAATTTATCACTATCACATCAATTATAACATTACATTAGAGAGACTTTTCACATTCGCATTTCTATTAGAGATAATTCTTTGGACCTTGTATTGGTTGTGGAACAAATAGAGCAATTATGAACAAATAAGCGCATAAGAAAAAATCAAAAGGCATTTCAAAAAAAAAAAACAAAATCAAAAGACTAAAATCAGAATCCATCTTATTTATAATTCTGCTAAAAATTGAGAATCACACCAAAACAAAAGCTTACATTTTCTCAGGCCATGTGTTCATAAGAAAATAATTGCAATCAAGTTACGAAATAATACATTGACAAATAGCTACATTTAGACTCTGGGCAAAGAAAAAAAAAATCAAAATCTTTGGTACATTATGTACACAGATGTAATAAATAACCCAAAATGGGAAAAATGGAAAGAAAAGATTCCTCTCGTCGAACATGAATTCTATCAATACCTCAATTTGCAGTAGAATAACAATGTTTTGAGTATTGGTTGTCACTTGTTAGACCACTGGAACTCTATCTCTAAATTCCTTGATGGCCCACTTTTGCTTTCTGGCAACAGTGTGTACTCTCCAGCAACCGCTCCCAGCATCACCACCCTATCAATCTGGATAGTTACTTTCCCGAACGAACTCTGTAAGAAAGATTGGAAGCAGTTTAGTTAAGGTTTAGTAAACCCAGAAAAAACCGAACGGGAATGGTTATATTTTGGGACGAAAGCAAATATTATGCGAGAAAATATGCATTATGATAATTATCAATGGTCTATACCTTTCCCATTTTGCTCTTGTTCTTGCAAGATATATGAAGTTTCTGTCCTTTTGGAGGACTCTCAAAGGACCAGGAAAAGCTCTCGTCCCACTCTGGATTTGGGCCAGTTGAAACGATCTGACAGATTGACAGAATCCATTTCAAAATTTAGTCACAACTAATTTTAAGTTTTAACACAAAACAAACATAAACAGGGACGGTGAGGTAAGACAGCATAACTATAAAAAAAATTTGGCTTGGAATGGGTGTATAATCAGAAATCCAGAAGCCTTGTCAGACCATCTTGTGGTTTCTCGAAATATGTACCATGTGACTTGACATTTTTTTTTTTTTCCTACTTTTGCAAGTTGAAACAGGAATGAAAAATATCTACAACTTCATTTGGTGTTTACACACAGCGAAGATGCAGTAAATGGTCCACAAATACAACAGTGTCACATCAACCAACCAGGAAGTCAACTTGGATAACTCTCCTCAACAACTAGCAATTTCAAGATAACTATATAAAGGTGTTTTTGAGAATGTATCAAGATTCCCAATGAAAAAAATGAGCAGCACAAACAACACGCATGTTGCTACGGAGCTAGCCAGAGATCTTTTACCAAGTATAGTGAAGTTTTTTGAAGTCGCGAAGATTATTATCCCATGGAAAGAACAGAATTCACTAATCTTGAATCATAACAATGTTTGGTTGGAGGATTCAAACCATGATTTGAATCATGGTTCATGGTTCACTACAGTGTTTTCTCTCACAAAAAATACACGTAAATCGAAAATGGTTTTAATCACATGATTCTAATCTATGAACCAAACGTCTCGGAGTGAAGTAAAGAAACAATTAGAAAATCTATAAACAAATGCCGAAAGTAACAATGATTAAAAAATAATAAGTATATGAAAGCTCTCTACCTTGGTTTGCTTCGGTGGAGTATTGCCAAGCGTAAGCTTGCAATAAACACTAGGGTTTCCCACTGACTGCTTCATATTGTTCCCGCGCTTGATTATGACGACCAATGTTCCTGGTAAACATTGCAACAAAAATTCTGCCTTCTCCTGAAACCGAGGTGGGCCAGACTGGATCAAGTATTGCAGCAAGGGAATTGCATCTGCAGCAGCAATTGACTGAGCCCTAGAAACTTCAGCTGGGCATGCCGACCAAGCTTGCCTCAGAAGAAAAAGTGCATCCAAGGCGGCTTCTTGAGTTGCCTCTGACCCTGTCTTGAGAGAAGTAACAAGATGGGGAATACTGAGTGTTGCAGGCTCAGTCGCTCTCAGACGTGGGAAATTGCCAAAGAGAGCATTTAGCGCCTTCAGGTACTCCTCATTCACAGTTCCAGAAGCCCATAAATCTTTTTCGATAGCAGCTGTTACACCACAAAGTTTAATTACAATCTTCTTTTATATGGAAAAAGCCCTGTTTGGTGGGCTAGGCAATCAAAGAAAAAACTGGTTCTGATATGTAAACAGATCAAAGGAAACAAATTCTTTATCAGTTCAGTAAATTACTCAACCAGTGATGCTCAACCTTAAGAGGGACTTCTATGCACATCTAAAAAGGATCAGAACTCGGCGGAAAAATAAGTGAAAAAGCAAATCAATGATACTGGAGAACATCTCATCATTCAGAAGGAACCCACCAGATTGCTCAGGAAAATTGGACAAAAAGAACAAAAAAGAAAACCTCTCAAGTGACAAGACTGATTTGAAGTTTTGTCACACGCATATATCTTTATAAACAAGCATTTTCATTTAAATTTATTAAGTGGTTTTACTTCATTTTGTTTTGTGAAGAAAAATACTCACAATGCTAAACAAAATTTTGCATACGAAGAAAAGAAGGGAAGATGAAGGGGAAAGGAGAGAGAACTTACCAGTGATGGATCTGACTGTTTCACTAGAAGCATACTCTTGAATGGTGTGATTAGAAAATAGAAGTTTAACAAACATTGCAGCTTGAACAGCTGTTTCTGGTTCGCTGGTCCCAATCAAATCCAACACAACCTGAACCCCACCAGCCTCTGCAACGGCTCTTTTGTTAGATCGACTGTACATCACAAGGTTTTGCAAAGCACATATGGCTACAACTTTCATTTCTTCGGTCGGTTGTTCTTCAAGAACATTAACCAGGGCACGGCAAGCTGAAACAGCGTCAGCACTTCGAGCAAGTGCCTCGTTCTGAAAAAGATCACCAAGAGCCAAAGTAGCTAATAATCTTGCTTGCTGAGCTTGGGTTTGTGGATCCAAAAGATACTGAGACAGCGGTAAGATGGCAGACTTTGTAGCTTTAGTTTCTCTAATCTTCACATTGTTCAACAATACTTCCAACAGTCTGGCAGCAGTGTCCTCACACTGATGACATCTGAGAAGTTCCAAAAGAGCTTCTATAGCACCACTTTCAGCCATTGCCTCGGCACTGGCTGCATCGTCACTTTCCAGAACCAGCAGGGCGTTCAAAGCACCTGTTGCTGTACTTTCTGATCCGGAACGAAGCAATCTAACCAACACAGCAACTGGCACTTCCAAATAATATTCAGAACTAAATTGAAGAATACTTGATAAAACAGAAGCAGCAGACTCCCACAGTGCATGGGGAAGTGAAGGGTCAGATTGTAGTATCACTTTGGATATTTCTACGACACCACCCTCTTTTGCAATTTCATTGGGCCAAGTTAGTGCGATACTAACAAGAGCCTTCACAGCTCTTTGCTGCAATATGTGTATACCAGAGCCTAGAACCCGTATAAGGGGACCAATCACTTGCTGTGTCACGGGATCCTTTTGAAGATGTTCTTCTGAAAGTAGATGTGAGAGAAGCTCTGCTGCCAGCTGTTGTACTGCCGGAGAAGGAGAGTCAAGTAAAGGGATAAGTGGTTCAATAGCTTGGTGAGAGGTTAAAGTATAATCAGCACGGCACTGTGGATGCTCCAAGATATTAACAAGAACCTGGAGTGCACTATGCTGTCCATCGGGACCAAACTCTGGTCTTGTTAGCAAAAGGAAAAGGGGCTCTACTACTTTTGCAGCAGATTGTCCTTTAGCAATGCTAGCATTGTTAGTCAATATACGGAGCAATTCTGCGAAAGCTGCACAGAGAAAATCTGGTGCTTCATGGAGGATGTCAAGCATGCTTTCAATAACTCCAGCTTTCACCATTTCCATCTTACAAGCAGGCCTGTCTTTCCCTAGCTTCACAAGAGCTCTAGAAATAGCCTCATGTAGCAAGTAATTCTTACCATAGAGAAGGCCAACAAGAGGAATAACTGCACCATGCGCAGCAACCAGTTCTGCCAGTTGCTCGTCATCAACAAGCTTATCCAATGCACGGACAACTGAATGCTGTGCAGGACTAAACTCAGTTACAAGAAGAGAGACCAGAGGCTCAACACACCGTGCTGCAGCCATTGTTGACCTGATTCTCGTATTTCCAAAAAGAACACAACACAATTCAGCAGCGTCTCCTTTAAGCTCCATTGAACTGTTTGATGAAAGGATCCTGCAAAGAACATCTACGGCATTCATTTCAACATCTGCAACTGCTAGAGCTCTTGATGGATTTTCACTCAATAACCTAACAAGTGCAGCAATAGCTGCATGCTGTTCTCTTTCCAGGCCAGTATTGAGGATCTCCACTAAGGGTTGAACAGCTTGCCTAGCAGATTCTGCATTCCTAATATGATCAGCAGAAAATAAGCTTTCTAATGCTTTTGCAGCACTATACCTAGCACCCCTTCCTCCTAAACGTAGAACTGCCACGAGTTGACCAACAGCACCAAATGCAGATTCATGTTTCCTAATTTCAGCACTGCTGAAAAGAATACCCAACAGATCGGTAGCAGCTTCCTCAGTTGCATCTTGGGGACCAAGTGATAGGTACTTAGTCAGAGCTTCCAAAACTCCTGATTCTACCATAACAATTTTATTTGATGGACAGTCCTTGGCAAGCTGAGTCAGAAGCCCAAGTGCCAGAAATGGTGCTCCAGGGCGATCTGGGATCGGTTTAAGAAGATCAACAAGTAGAGGTATTGCTTTCCGTGAAGTAGCGCCAACCCTTATGTCATCGACTCTAAACAACCTCTCAAGAGCAACTTGCTCTGGATAACGCACCAACCCAAACTCCTCTGACAACTCCAGAAGATTGCTTATATCAGCATCAGCACAGCCAAGTAGGGAAATAAGCCCACCTGCTGCACCAGAATTTGCAACAGATAGAAGTGTTCCCCTGCTACCATTACAGACAAGACTAGCAACTGCCTGTGCAGCAAAATATCTGTTTGCTGACGCCTCTGACTTCAACATGTTTGCAATGACGGGAATACATTTCATGGTCGCATGTGCTCTTATGATATCTCTATCTTGAAACAAAATTGCTAACAATAACGCACAAATCCAGATGCTGTTATCTTCTTGAAAATCAATCTGCTTATATCAGCACAAAACAGGGGGGAAAAAAACGTTCAAAATAGGAGAAAAACGTTAATGAAAAAGTGCAAACTCCTATACATCTCAGTATTTGCGTAGTAAGTGGAAAATTACCAAAACCACTCGTAATGCCTAATCTGAAGACATAAGGCTTTTTTGTATGAATACCCCTGAACTTGACGTGTTTGGCGATTTAGTCGCTAAACTTTCAATCTTGACAATTGAACCCTTAAACTAGAGACTGTGTTGCACCGTAGGTCCTTTGACTGCTTCCGTTAAAATTTAAACAGTTTTTTGTCACATGATTTGCATGTGACCTTCTTTAAAGGGCATTGGTCGTCCTTAACTTCTTTTTTTTTTTTTAATAAAAAAGAAGATCCCAAAACAAATTCAAAAGAAAAAAAAAATCAAAAAATGAAATCGAAAAAAAAGGTAGTTGAAAAACTCATATCACAGTGACCACGCCAAGCGATGGAGGATGATGACGATTTCGAAACGGCGGTGGAGTCCGATGAGTTCCGGAGTTGCACCACCTCCCTCCATGAGTTCCGACAGCGCCTCCACCCCATAACCAAATTCTTAGCCACTCTCTCTAAGCCTCTCATTCTCCAAAAATATGTTCCCACCACTTTCTTCAAGACACATTTCAGACCAAAACCCACAATTTGAAAAAATAAAAATAAAAATATAGAAACAAATACAAAAACAAATTCGTACCCTCAGACCAAATAACAGTAACAATATGGTACCCAAACAGAGAAAAAAATGAACAAAGACAAAATGAATATAAGAAAATAATTCCCTTCAAATAAACAGAATTGCAGAAGCAATCAAACTTCATATTTGGAGCGATCTGGTAATCAGTGTTTTTGGTTTGTTTGGGTGTTTTATAGAATATGGAAAATTGCAAGTTGCAACTCATAAAGGGGAGAGAGAGAGAGAGATATATATATAGGAAGAAATTGCTTCAAAGTTCAGATCAGAGAAAAACAGAGAGAAGGAAAGGGGTAGCTTTTTTTTCCCTTTTTATTTATTTATTTAATGACCAATTTGGTCAAAAGGACCAGATTGCCCTTTTCAAATGTGAAAACCACACTGTTTAAGAGTGGACCTACTATGCAATTAATTTCAAAATTTAAGGGCTCAATTGCGAGGATTTTTAGTTGAAGGACTAATTCGCCAATCGCGAAGTTCAGGGGCACCCATGTAAAAGAGCCAAATCAAAACTGACTGAATGCATCCTGTTTTTCTCATGGGGATTGTAATATAAAGTCAAACAAGAAAGTTATTACCTGAGAATAACGTGAAGAACAATTTGCGATCCTGTCGGTGAGGACTTCAACTGCTCCGGCCTCCATAATCACTATTTTGCTCTTTTCATCATGACAGGCAAGAACAGAGAGCAGCCAAATGGATAAATCAACACCAGAAATAACTGCTGTGCTCGTATCAGACTCATCTGTCCTGGTTTCTTCTTTATTATGTCTAAAAATGCTGATGGACTCCTCGTTATCCACTGGGTTTGCCGAAGACGACTGAGAGGAACTTAGCATTGCAACAAGAGATTGAATGACAACGGTGCATGAGTTTGATTGACTAAGATCTTCCACCACCCTGTGATGACTGACTTTTGCGGCACAAATAAGGAGTGCAACTCCCCCAATTTTAACTTTTATGTTTGCAGAATTGATCACCCTTTTGGCAATTGATGATATACATCCAGAGGAACTGGCAACGGTGTCTCCTAGAACAATAGGCTGGTCTCTGCAGAGTCGTGACAAAATTTCAATAGCTTTATCCTGCAACGTAGGTGATGCATCAGCAATAGAAAAAACTATAGGGGCTATGCTTTTTGGGTATTCTGCCAAAACTGCCCATGCAGGTTTTGTTTGCCCACCACTCATTCCTCCCGACCTAGACAGAATAGCAAGTGCATCAAGTGCCTCAGCTGCAGCAGCGGATCCACTATCAGCAGATTCTAGAAAAGAAACTAATGCAAGAACAGTTCCCGAACGATTTACACAATCGTTCAAAGCATAATCAATTTGGCGAGAGTGGAGAAGGCGAGCAATTGCCGCTGCTGCATGGGTCTTCCCAGATACTGTGCCTTCACGCAGAACTCTTGTAGCGGGCAGAATAATTTCTTCAGCCACTGCTTTCTCCGAAACTTCATTATCAAGAATAAGATTTGCCAAGGCACATGTTGCTAGCTCTGCAACATCCAGAACGGCAGAGTTAGCAAGGACGTTCAGAGGAGATAATGCATCCCTAGCAACAGCAGCCACTTCTTTATTCTCTTTAATTGAAAGAAAAATCGAAGCAAGGCAACGTGAGGCCTCAACCGGGATTGTTTCAGATTCAGCATTAAGCAACTTCATCACTGACCAAAGAGTTTTAACAGCAATTCCAGTTTCACGCAAGTCTTTCCTAGTTTCGAAAATTCCAGCTAGAGCAGATGCAGACTTGGCTTGAGTCTCTTCTTTAGTTGAGCTCAATATTTTTATCATCGTCTCTATTGCATCATTAGCAGCACTTCCTTCACGCAATATATCATTGAGTGGAACCACAGAGAGCATACTTCTTAAAGCATCCAAAACATATGTTTTAGATTCAGGAAGATCACTGGTTAATAATGCAGTCAGCTGGCTAATAGTTGCAGTATCAGATTTATGGATTAAATGATTCAAAGTCTTTGCTGCAATTTCTTTCCCATTCGCACTTCCATTCTTCAGAAGCCATAAAAGTGCAGGAACAGCATCAGCACTTTCAACACAAGCACGAATATCTTCACTGTGATTGCACAGGTTCCGAAGGATTGTTGCTGAATCTTCCTTAGCTTTCACGGATCCGGTCTCCAGAATCTGAACAAGTGGAGGTATGCCACCAGCAGCAGTAATAGCCCATTTACTCTCATCATTTTCATTAGACAACAGACCAAGAAGCGCAACTGCACATTCTTGTTGCTGTTCAGATGAAAGTCCAAGAAGAGATATCAATAGCTGAACCCCTTCACGGCCCTGCAGTGCACGCCATAGACTGCCGTCATTATTGCAAAGTGTAAGCAAAGCTCTTACAAGCTCATCCTGAACTTCCTTTGCTGCCATTGTAATCAAACCAACAAGTAAATGTTTTGCATCGGAATTTGCAAGTTTAGTTGAGAGTATTGGATTCCCATATAAACTGGCAAGGGCTTCTATAGTCCGTTCCCGCACAAGAAATGGTAGGCGAGGTTTTAGCTGTGTAAGCAAAGTCTGCTCAACAGCCAGAGCATCTGATGCTCTGGTTAATTCTGCTTTGCTATCATATATCATAAGAGCCGAAGCTAAAGCCCCCAAGGTATCAGCAACTTGGGCAGGTGAAGTACATGATTCAAGGCTTTGACCAAGACTTGAGATGACATATGATAAACCACCAGAAATGTTTGCTAAAGCACACATCGCATTCTCCTGCAACGCTTGAGCATACTCACCCTGCATGAATTCTTTTGAAGGGGCTATTGTAGCATTTATGAGAGCAGGAATACCATTAAAATTAGCTATATCCCGCCTCGCTTCTTTGCACTGAGCAGAGAGAGATTTAAGAGCACCTGCAGCTTCTGCTCTGACGGAAGCTTCATTACCAGGCCCCAATAGCTTGAGAAGTTGTTTCGTAGCCTCTGCAGCTAGCACCTTAGAACAAACAGACGCATCCTCCTTCATCACACATGCAAGAAGAAAGCACACATTAGCTTGAGTGCTCGACTCTCCAGTTTTCAGCAACTTCACTAGTATATCAACTCCTCCGGCTTGTAATGTTGCTGTCCAGAATCCTTCCGTGCTGCTTGAAAGGTTTCTTAGTGACCCAGTCAACAAGCCATCAACCAAATTACCATTTTCCAGCTGCCCCCAAAGCACTGGCACAACTCCTTCAGTTGAAAAAATCTTTGACCCAACATGATCTCTAGCACCACCTTGAGAAACAGCATAGATGGTCTTTGCTGCAGCAACTTGACCTTCTGCTGAGCTAGACTTGAGCAAACCAAGCAGTGGCGGAATACATCCACCAAGCAAGACTTTTACCCTCAGTTCATTCTCCTTACACAGAGAGCCTAAAACAGTAGCAGCTTGTATCTTCACTCCAAGTGATCCTGATCGGAGAAGAGAAACAAGAACTGGAACAGCTTGAGAATGAGATCCGACAGCACTGAAAGCATTTTCACGCGTATCAACAAGTTCCAGCAACTGCTTCAATGAATACTCTTTCTCGTGTACAGATGAAGAACTCTGACGTAGCTGCTCAATGCATTGGGCAACACTTGCCAGGGTCCCATCTGGATCCTCCATGCTACTGCGGTCTCTGCAAACAATTTGAGAATGTCAGATATACATAGCGAGATCTTGCTGCTTTAGAACACAATATTGGCAGAACTTGGTAAGCGACTTATCAACATTGACTGAAGTATATATTAATCAATTCCTTAATTAAATGGTTGTCAACCCACACAACCCCCTAGGTTGACAGAGTGTAGCATAACTAAAACAACAAAATAACAAATAAGAAGCAAAGGTAATTGAAATAGAATACAGTAATCACAGGATTCACGTCAACAAAATGAGAACCACGGCCAGCAAGAATAAGGGTACCTTAAGTATATAGATGTAAAAATTGCTTAATAATTCGAGGACGTGTTTTATCCTAGTCTCACTTCTTAACAGCTTCTAGAAGAAATACCATGAAGGTAATATACCTGGAAAATTATAAGTATATTCTTTCAAACTACTTAGTGTCCCTTAGTTGGAATTTTAATGTATCCCTCCCTCAGATTATTCCTTTAAGTCGTTAAACTACTTTGCTAAAAGAAGAGATGGGACCTTTAAGTTAGTTAAAGTTTTGTCTAAGCAACCAAATGCAATGTATACACCATAGCATAATATAAAGGAACTCTTCATTATAAACAGGAAAATGATGCGGAGGAACTGGCTTAGAAAGACCCCTAAGATATTTAATCCTATTCAACGTTGAAGTTCGCTCAAATTATGGAATATGCTTGGTCCAAAAACCATGAGAATTACTAGAAATCAGCTTAACAACAGTCAAGTAAAAACAACTAGCAGGTTGTCGAACGATTTTTTCTGTAAATTAAGAAAAAAATCATTTGCATATGATAAGGTTTAAACAGACCTTGACCCCATCTTTGCTACAGAAAGTGGAGTTGGAGGCTCCGAATCTTGAACTTTCATATCACCATTTCTTTCCTGCAACCATAAGACCGTATGCATTAACATACACATGAATATCCATAAACTTTTCAAGTAAAGGAACTAGAGATGATATTTAAATGATGTAATGATAGAGAGCCACAAAGTAAAAACATGAAAATAAAGAAAACACCAGAGATATCCGGAATACATGTGGCCAACATATTCCTAACTTAACAAGAATTCCATGTTAGAACGCACAGTAACGAAGGTAAAAAGTAAATTCAGCATACAAAAGAGTATAAACATATATATATATATATATACATATATTATATGTATAAATTTCATTCCCTTACTATCCAACCTAGAAATAAAAAGAATAACAATTTGATATTCTTATAAGAACGCATCTCAATAACCTATTAGGGGGATCACGTGTGTGCAAGTCATATAATTGCAACCCAAGTAGTGGCACTATCGAGAAGTTCAGCTACTTTAGCTGCATTAAGTCAATATTAGCAGCTTTGGCACTGTTCATCCAGCAGTGTAGGCTTTTTATTCTTATTTCTTCCTTTTTTCAATGGATCTTGCACCGGCATTGTGCATCTGCTCAATGGAAAGGCTTAAACTTATTTGTTTTAGTGTACCTATTTTTTTTCCTGTATAACATGATTCACTGTTTATATATATAAATATATATTTTCATTTTAGTATATAAATCCAACATAAGTCCGTAAACAAATAGGAGAAAACTACATATAAAACCAGAATTTTCGAGATCTCTATAGCTTCCAAAGAGTCATTTCCGAAACCCAAAATTTCAACAGCCATGTAGATTTATGGTCCAAATAATCACAACCATGCCAAACTGAAGAAAAATCCATACATATTGATAGAAGCAGGGCCAGCGGGATCAGATTCATCCCACATCTACACCCACCAAGAGACTATTACAGCTTCATTCCATCCTCGCAAATTAGTTTATTTATGATCGCCCTACAAACAAACTTCCCCACCCCCACTCCTTTTCTCACTCGAGCCACAAATCAAAAAAAGTAAAAAAACACGAAAATCCATGTGAAAAGCGTAGACAAAAGTGTAAAACACGCACCAAATCATTAGTGGCAAGGCTGCTGCCATTGCTGGCAAGCCTCCAAGACAGCGTTGTCGTCGCCAGCTTCGCTTCGCTTCACAATCCTGATCAAATCAAGCGAGAGGCTTACTTGCCGTTCTCCAGATCTACCTCAGAGACACCGTCCAAAGCATCAGTCAAACCCCTCCTGCCAAAGAACAAACACAAATTCACAAACGAGAATTCCACTCCACCACAGTCAGATGCAGATCAGACTATCCTAGTAAAGCTTAAGTCACCATTACAGACAAAACAATCCAATCTGAAATAAATTGGAAGAAATAAAATTATTGAAGGAATTCGCAGAGCTAAATCCAATGAGTACAATCAATAAGATAACAAAGTTCAATTATTCTACCTAAGACGAACTCAAATATGCTCTGTTTGATTGAAGAAGAACGAAAATGAAAAAACGTAATTTTTTCAAGCTCGAAACTCAATTAAAGAGAAATTCAACCATTTCTCTCACGAAAACGAAACTCAATTCAATCACATTCATGGAAAACTACAAAGTTCCGACAGATTTGACGTCATTACGGCGAATCCGGAGAAGATCGAGCTCAATCAAATCAAAGCCTTCAGCTTTTCAGCGAAGAGTCGAACAGAAGAAGAAAAAAATCGCAAATGAAAGCACAAGAATCAAACGAAATGTATGAATCTGGTCTCAGATTTCGAAGAGATTCAACAAAGTTCATATGAATGCAATAGAGATAGAGAGAGAAACTGACCTTGAGAGAGGAGAGAGAGAGAAATGGAGGGAGTTTGGAGCATCAATTGGTTTCGTGAAACGGAAGCGAAGAAGAAGAAGAAAGAAGCTTACCAAAAAGCTTATGAGAGAGAGAGAGAGAGAAGGGGAAGATATAGATATAAATTTCCCGTATTTTCTCTTTCTCTCTCCCAGTCCTATATATTCTGTGTGTGTCTTAATAGAAGAGTGTTACGTTAGATACTGGAGGAGAGAGAAAGTCAGGACTGTGAAAGGGAAGCTTTGGTGAAATAATAGCCTCACCGTCAAGAGTCTAATTGGACGACCGACAATTTATGAGCCCATAGAGCTTCTCGGCTCGGCTCGGCTCGGCTCGGCTCGGCTTCAACTTGGCTTCAGCTTTGCTTTTGCTTTTTTTTTTTTTTTTGGTTATTATTGAGAGATTTATAAGCCGTCAAAATATGAATTACTGTTTTCAATCGTTATATATATATATATATATATAAACCATCTGTTTTGCATATTCCTTATTTTTAAATTTAATCTGACGTGATATTCATCAGACACAACGATTAAGAATCGGCCCTATCTAGAAGGAAGTGCTACAAGAAAAATACTTATTATTGTGTAAAATTATGATGGGACATGCATTTTTACTCCATATAGTAAGAATTATGCTTTAATTATTTGATTAATTTTTTAATAGTCTAATATGGAGTAAGACTAGTATATTGTATTATAAATTATTAATACGTATATGCACAGTTTTGATCCTTAAGACATATTTGGTACATCATATAAACACTATGTATTATATTGTTTAATAATAATATAATATTTTGTGATATTTATACATTGATAATTTAATACGATATTTAAAATTAATACAATACGAAGTGTGATATTTAATATGAAAAAAATCGTATTATGCAATTTAACTTAAAATATCATATATAAAACATATAAATTATTTCACAAATATCAAGGCTCAGGATTGGGTTTTAGGGCTGATGTTGGGGTCGAGTTTCGGGACCGAAATGATGTTGGGTTTATATTTTTAAAAATTATATTTTGACCCATAAGCTTTTCAAAAATTATATTTTGACCCCTAAACTTTTAAAAAGTATGTTGTGATCCCTCAATTTTTATAAAATTATATTTTTGACCCCTCAACTTTTTTAAAATTATCTTTTTGCCCTTTAATTTTTAAAAATTACAATTTGACCTTTTTCAATTTTTTTTACAAAAAGACCCCTATATAGCAACTCTACTTTCTCCCTTGCTTCCTCAAAATGTTGGGTTTGGGTCGAGATTAGAGTTGAATTAGATTACGATTAGGCCTAAATTTTACCTTATTACAAACTAATTAGTGAATAGATTACAATAGTTAAAATAGTATAATGTTTAACAATACCACAAACTAAACACCGTATTGTATAAAAATTATAAAATGCAATACAATACTATACGATACAATACAATACAATACAATACAATATAATGCACCAAACATGCCCTAAGAGCACTTTTTAGTCCATATCTTAGACCATTAGGAAATGCATATTGTACCATGTATTAGTATTGTAACATTTTATTCCACAAAATTTGTATTTTGGGAAATTATTGCTTATTTTGATTTTTGGAAATTTTAGTTTTTGACGCTAAATAAGGATTTTTAAAATGTAGTAGAGATTATCACGTTCTTTTTATTGTCGCTAAAAAATTCTTAAGAAAAATACAACATTTTGCATTTAATATAATATATTTTTATATAACTATTGGTAGTATGCAACAAAGAGGCGTTGTTATCTCTATTAAATTTTATATACTTCATCAATTTTAGTGGTAAGGATTAAACTGTCAGAAAACTAAAATTTGGAGTACAATCAATCAAAATTAAAAATTGAGTAATTTGCATTCGTAATCTCTTAATTTTTTAGTAAGTGACATTTTAATTCCTATTTTTTTTTTAATTTTAACAAAACAATCCATCAACTCTTAATTTATTTGCAATTTAAGGTTTTCCCTCCATCACTTTATTAACAGAATATATCATGTGCTCCAATATAAGAGGGTATATTAGTAAAGCAATAATAACTTATAATTAAAAAAAATAAAGTAAAAAACAAAAATAGAAATCTCAAATCTGCAGACTTAAACGATAATCAAAAAAATAAAAAAATAAAAAAATAAAAAAACTTGAAGTAGAAGGAGAGAAAGAGAGAACAAAGATCCAGCGGTGGCATGGGGAGAAAGAGAAGATTAGGCGGCAGGCGATGATAGTTGGTGTGAGTGCGGGCGGGAATAGAGGTTGTTTTTGTTTTAGAGGTTCGGTCCTTTTTTAAGGTTTGAGGCTATTTAGGTCTTTTCATTCAAAAAGGGGCAAATTTACTGGTCAGAATCATTAAGGCCTCGTTCATTTCACTCACCGATTCGAGTTTTTAATTTTAAGTTTCTACACTTAAAAACTCTTAAAAAATGTCACATTTAACTTTTTCTGCTACAGTTAACTCTCAGAAAATATCACATTTTTGCTCGAATTGAAAATTCAAATCTACGAAATGAACGAGTCAAAAGTTACGAAACCTTACAGAAAACCTTAAAATGCAAACAAATTAAGAATTGAGGGATTATTTTACTAAAATTAAAAAAAGAAAAACACTAAAGTATCATCTACTAAAAAATTGAAAAGACCATCAATATAATTTAGAGGGTAATTAGTATGAGAATTTGTGTCATAGTTTGTGGCTCGTAACAGTATTTTTTCTCAAAAAAATACGCGTAAATCGAAAATAATTCTGATTCTGAATAGTGCTAAAATCAAAATTCTCTAAACAATTTTGGGAACGAATTGTTACAATACTATCGTCCAAGGACTAATAGTGCTAGAAATACTTTTTTTTTCTTTTTTCTTTTCTCATTTCATTTCAAAAAAAATACTTTATTCACTTTTTTTTAAAAAACTTTCTATTACTTATTAGTTCCTTTTCCTCTTACCGTACCTCTTCCAACGTTCATAAAAATAATAAAAAAAAATGGTTAATTTTATAGGTGCACTTAAATTTTGAGGTCATTTCTAGTTTATTTTTTATTTTTATTTTTAAAACTCTCAATTTATCACCTGAATTTTTAATTTTATTTTTTCTCCTGAACTTTAAAGTCATTCCTAGTTTATACTCTAAACTTATGAAACTCTCACTTTACCACATGAATTTTCAATTACTTAACCCTTTTGTTAAAATTTATGTTTACAACATATTGAAAAAAAGGGGTTAAGTGTCTAGTAGAAATACCATGTGATCGTACTGCCTCCTTTTCTATTGTTTTTAACAAAAATTCTAACATATAAAGAGTTAAGTGGAATTAAATTAAAATTCAATGGGTAAAATGTTTTTAAGATTTTAGGACAAATAAAAAATGACCCTAAAATTCAGAGATACCAGTGAGAATAATAAAATGAAAAAAAGAAACATAAATCATTATTTTACGTTTTCTTTCAATCATAATACATATGTGGACGAATGATACTAAGGAAAAAAGCTTCGTTCTTTTCGCATATTCGAGTTTTGCTACAGTAAAAAGCTCTCAGAAACAGTCACATATAACTTTTTTGCTACAGTAAAAAGCTCTCACACAACATCACATCTCAACTCGAATTAAAAACTCAAATTAGTGAACCGAACGGGCCATTTTAATTTTTGTATCAACTTATGAGTTGTCATTCAGATTAGAGTTGCTATTCTTAGCATTACTCTTAATAGAAATATTTCCTCCAAAATTTCCTCTATATTATAATTATAAGAATAGAGTGATACGGTTATAATAAAAATAAAAAATAAAGTTATTTTGGTACCTTCTGTTATAGTGAAACATCTTGTGAGTACCCTGTATTTTTAATAATATAAAAATAATACTTCCACCCGTAAAGAAACATTCTTACTTATTATCGACAAACTAATAATTAAAAAAAATTTGAAGATGCTTTAAAACAATTTAAAGTTAAAAAAATAAAATAAGTTAAAATATTTTCAGAAAATATTTTAAAATTGTTAATTTCTATTTAATTAATGTAGATGCTAGTTTAGACTTTCAGTTACTAAAAGAACATTTTTTTTAAATGTAAATATATTATTTTAATATTATTACAAACACAGAGTATCAATAAGATATTTTACTATAACAAAGAGTACTAAAATGATTTTATTCTTAAAAATAAAATGGTTCATAATTATATTGTATATTTTTATAGGAAAACTGGTTGGCATGTAATAAGAGAACTAAGGGGGAAAAAAGAGAATAAGAAAATGATAAAATGGCGATTTCTCTTTACTACTTACAAGTCATATGGACATTTGTTTTGTAGTGGAAAAAAGTCACATGGACAATTTTGGTTATTTATTGTGAAAATAAGTTTTATCAGTCAACTTATTAATTGTGGATATATTTGATGAGTGAGTATTTTATTCGTAAATCAAGTGTTTTTCAGCTTGTGTATTTATAAGTTTTTAAGTATTTTTGTTAGTTTAATCTGTTTTTATTTTGTTTTTGTAGGTTGAAGTTAAAATTGAATAAAAGGAGCGAAAATTTGACTTTGGAACATATTTTAGTATTTGGAGCATAACTCTCTTATCTGAAGTCCAAAGGAGGTGATCTTAGTGGTGTTGGAAAGATAAGAGATAGAGCTACAACTTTCATGAGACACTAAAAACTAATTCGGCTATATAGAAGGTGAAAGTCCTCCTCAAAGTTAGACTCCTGCTGCAGCGGGTTTCCTGCCCTAAGCGGCGCTGCAGTGGAAAAATGATCCGCTGCAACGCCTCCATACGTACTGTAATCATTTTAAGGCCTCTTTTGTACTGATTTTGAAGAGGTATAAAAAGGAAATGTGTTGAGATAAGGGGCTCTTTGGAGACCCAAAAACCGATAACCTTAAAGAGAAGAATACAAGGATTCAAGGGCTTACTTGAAGATCCAAAGGAAGATTGAAGCTTGCAGAGCTTGATTGACGTCTAGTTCTTCATTCTCTCTCTCTCTCTCTCTCTCTCTCTCTCTCTCTCTCTCTCTCTCTCCTTAAGATTCTTAATGTCTTGTTCTAGCTAAACCCTAGAGCTAGGGGCTTAATGTAGTTTTAACGTTGT